TCAAGTTTTGTGCAAAAACGCATGATCGCTCCGGCTCGCCTGGTGCGTTCCAGCCTACGTTTCACAGACGACGCTGGAGCAATACTTCCACTTCCTAGTGAACTGGAAATTTGTATTTTTTCAAAAAATTTACATTTTCACTTTTTCAAAAAGCTGGCATTTACTGAAAAAACGACCGAGCTTCATGTGAAAAACTGGTATTCATGTACTTGCTGATCCATGCGGTGCTATAACTCAACACCCTCGTCCCAACCGATGCCCATCCTACTGCATACCGGAAGAAACCAAAACATGGCCAATATGAGCCAAAGTGTTTGGGTGCAGCGCAGGGATTATTGGTGCTATTATCGACCCGTGAGTTTAGTGCAAAAACGCATGATCCCACCGGCAAGCTGTGGTGCATTCCAACCTGAGTTACAATTTGCACAAATGCAAAAACGCATAAAAAACCAATGTAGGGCATTTTGATCAAATACACATTTTACTTCACCTTGACATTTTGATCAGTAGTTGTTGAGCATCGCGTTTTTTCATGCCACTGATCCAGCTTGGTCACATTCTTATCTATTTTAGGAACAACCCCTGCATGACACCAAAAGCGGTCGAGGGGATCTTTCTCGCATTTCCGACTTTCAGTATTTATTTTAACACTGCTTGAGACGATTGAATAACCACGTTGCCAGTTCTTTCTCTCATTTTTACCACATTGCCAACCCAACTATTCTTCCTGTCTTACTTTAATAATACCACTCACAGCGGACTTGTTAAAACTTCCAATGCACGGTTCGATAACTTGCTGGGTTATCGCTAATTTTTTCCCCTAAGAAAATGTGTAACACCGCATTCCAACAATTTTTTTCACCATCATTTGGAGGATCAGTTTTGGTTGAAAAAATTGATGCAATATCGGATGCAGCCATGCTAATATCTGCCTTGGCCTTCATTTCTCCAGTTGTTACTTGTCTATACCGCGTCAATGAACTAGTCTTCCTGGAGTTTGGCCAAGTTATTATATTTTGTTTAACAATTACCACTCACTTGAAAGGCTGTGCTCTTCGCTTACAAGAAGCCAAAATAATTGCAGATTTGTGGTGTGTCACTAAGCTTATTCCTCACTCAGCTGGGAAAAGCGCTGCTTCGTAACGAGACAACACTGGAAAGTTCGTCGACTCCATTCTGCGGTACCAACGATGGCCGACATTCAGCCGCAGCATTGGGCAATATCCACTACGATTTAGGCTCCGCTTGGGCCAATTTTCAATCAGTTTTCGGGCCAAATCCATTGCTCTGGCTCGTACCCGTTCCTTCAACTTATGGTGATGGATCTTTTCAGGGCGTACGGCATCAAGTGAATAGTACATTATGTCGACGGAAAAAGCAAACTGATACATTTCAAAAATAAGTGCTTCAATACCACGCAGGGTAGCCGCTGATGTCAGAGAAACTTTCAGGATTCCTTCACAAGCACCATTCTGTACAGAAGTATTACTTTCTTCATTGTGTACATCAGTTCAGTAGTCTTCGTTACTAACCGCTAATTTTATGATTACATCCAACTCTCCTGGAAGCTATATTTAATGTGCAGCTAATTAGTCAGAACAGCAGATAAAAAAACCTTGGTACTAACACCTTTATTTTCTGCACCATCAGCTTTTTACCATCTTCGGCATTAACTTGCTGCTAACAACTCTGAGGAAGAGCAACTGACTCACTGACAACTCTGATAGCAGTGCATGGCTGTTATATCCACAATGGACTGCCACTTCCACGTCCTTCCGTCTTTCACAGACAGCAGAACATATAAGAGAACAGTGGGAGCTCGATTATCACTGTTGCTGTTATTGGTAATGGAAATTATGACTGCTTACGCTTAATAATAAGAAATATGTCTGTTGCCTAAAAAAAGATTGTGCACGCTGAACGAAGGAACTTGCCAATAAAATTTAACGCCTCCCCACCAAGACCGCGTTTAAAGAAGGACAAGTTGACACACTGTTTCAAACAAAGGCTGGAACGCACCAGGCGAGCCGGTGCGATCATGCGTTTTTGCATCAAAACTA